CCTAAGGGGATGTCGAGCCAAAAATTAGAACCATAAAGACCGAAAAATTCTTCCTTTTCAGAAACTATCAAATATCTCATTCGCCTTATGCAAAACAGGTTCATGTAAGCACATTAGCATTTTTTAGCTAATACGGTCACAGACATTCGCGCGCGCAGATCTGCACCTTTATTGGTCATACTTAGATACTTATACATACTTAGATAACCGATCCTGCAGATTGAACTTGACAAACTGTGACCAGACTTCAACCTTGAGATAGCTACATAAATTCCAGAGATTCCTATCGCTGAACCCATATAATTCGACTTACTCATACGGGCTAACACATTTTCAAGAGATTTTAACTCAACATATGATAAGGATTACTGTATTCTGAGTAGGCCAGAAAATTCTGAACTATTCTCTAAACAACAATAACCTACTACTACTATTTCAAACTAAGACCTGTGATATATACAGATTATTTTAAAACAAGCAGAGCATATTATAGACTATTAGCTACAGAGGGTAGATACTGGAAAGCGACCCATGTCCAAGCACGCAATTCCTGGCATCTGCCTTTCGCAGATTCGGTATATTGCATACAATTACACTATGCGCATAGTCAGATCGGCCATTTGTGCAAAAAAAACGCGTGGCTTTAACTCTAACTTTATTCGTTGTCATAAAATTTGCCTTTCGAAACAAATATTTTTAGAAAAAACTTATTTTATTAAGGAAATAAAATTTTGCAAAAGAGAAGGGCTTGAGCCATACTTTAATTCTGATGCTCAAGATATCTTACGCTAAAGCAGCAACCACATAAATCTTTTAATCGTTTAAAGGAATGAGATAACTTCAACAATTTCTTAAAAAAAGGAAAGGCTTGTTCGATAGACTTCGCTGAATTTCCTCAAATTAACCCAGCGACCATCTACGACTCTGCACTTACATGTTGTGCAAAGTCTTTGCACTGATATTTTTTCCAGCGAAATTTATTTCGCTGAAAAAATATTAGTAGGCAGTCAAAAGCCATCATGACCAAGAAGACGGGTATTTTTATGGCACATGCACCTCTTTTTGAAAAATGCACGAACCTTCTTTTTCTCGTCAGTTGGGAACTCGACTGGCTGGTCTGCCGAAACAACAGTACATCCCTTCTCACTTACTGGTACAAGAGCACAAGATATTTCCGGAAAAGCAACCTAAACGAAAGAATCCAAAGGAATGGATACATACGCTTAGCTACATTCTCTTACTAAGTATATTGCATCCCCTATATGGCTGCGTAGTTTCCTATTTGGATGATTTGGATGCCAAGTAAACATAACACGTCCCGTAAATCCTTCCATTGGTTGAAAATACCAACAATTTCGACCACTGATCTAAATTTGCACATAATGAA